TTCTAGGTCCTATATGGGAGTGGTTCTTCTCTCACCTTCCACATGAACCCATATGTCCGCTCTTCACTGTTTTCATTTACCTCTTTTTATTTCTTTCTTTTCTTTTTTTTTTTTGTTTGAGATTGAGTCTCACTCTGTTGCCCAGGCTGGAGTGCAATGGCATGATCTAGGTTCACTGCAACCTCTGCCTACCGGGTTCAAGCGATTCTCCTGCCTTAGCCTCCCAGGTAGCTGGGATTATAGGCACCCACCACCAGGCCTGGCTAATTTTTGTATTTTTCTAGAGACAGGGTTTCACCATATTAGCCGGGCTGGTCTTGAACTCCTGACCTCAGGTGATCTGCCGACCTCGGCCTCCCAAAGTGCTGGAATTACAGGCATGAGCCACTGCGCCTGTCCTCATCTAACCTCTTAATTGATAGGCACATTAATATCCAGTGAAGATGTTAAAGGCCCACTACCTAATCATCATTGTGCTACATAAACAGAGTCGGGCTTATAAACGTTAGGTGGGAGCATCTTTCAGTTAATCAGATTTGTACAATTGGAATGGTGAACATTGACACAGTTACCTTGAAGAAACTAGGCATACTGAATTGACATCAACTATGAAGAAATTTGTCGTTAAAAATCTATATAAGTACTATATGAAAAGCTTTATAAACTAGAATATCCTATAGAAATAAGGTATTGTTGTAGTTAGTTCTATTACTTCAACCTAGTGATTTTTAAATCAATTGGGCATCCTAAAGCAATGATTATTTTTTAATTGCTGGAGGAAGGGAAGGCATCACTACATCATTGCAAGTGAGATTTTATAGAATTACAAACCGATCTGCTCACTTAGACATTCTGTCTGCCTAAATTGTCATGAGCTAATTCTCTTCAGTCATATTATGTCTGGAGCAGAGCATTGCACCTAACTGTGCAAATCAGAGGGATTTATCTTACATCCTTATTAATATTTCCCTCTTAATATTACCAGGGACCAATTCTTATTGAATAAACAAACTTGGAAAATGTTCTTCATGTGATTAATACATATATGCATAAAACTCCACATATAAATCTATATAGGAAAAATATCTTAGCTTACATATGTTTAAAAGAAATCAAATTAGAGCTCTCAAGATACCAGCATGTTTTAGTCAAGACAATAATTTTTTTACAAAAGGACATGTTTTAATTTTTGGATTGCATCAATAAAAAATATTCAATACAAAATTTTAGTTTATTAAATTAAAAATTCTAAGTGGTTATTAAAACTGATAACCTAGGCTGCGCGTGGTGGCTCACATCTGTAATCCCAGCACTTTGGGAGGCCGAGGCAAGTAGATCACGAGGTCAGGAGTTCGAGACCAGTCTGGCCAACATAATGAAACCTCGTCTCTACTAAAAATACAAAAATTAGTTGGGCATGGTGGTGTGCACCTGTAATCCCAGCTACTCGGGAGGCTGAGGCAGGAGAATCACTTGAACCCAGGAGGCGGAGGTTCTGATGAGCTGAGATTGCACCACTGCACTCCAGCCTAGGCAACAGAATGATATTCCATCTCAAACAAACAACAACAACAAAAAACGGATAAACTAGGTTTTATTTCATCAGAGTAGATTTGATGAAATAAAACAATGAAGTAGCTTTCCTGGTTGAATCAGCAGCAAACATTTGTTAATAACTCTCTGGATTTTACAGGATCAGGCCAAGGAGCAGATGGGATACAGATTTCTAATATGGAATGTCACCGCAAGGGTGCTGCTCCTTTTCCAGATGCTTTTCCTGGGGGCAGTTGGATTGTGAGAGCTGCACTTTGCAGGAGCCTGGTTACTGTTTCTGTGAATAAGATAAAATAGTGTTTATCCTCTGTCGATCAATACTGTCTTGTTTGAACTTATTGAGTCATTTTAGAGACACATAAGGCAATGAAAACCATTGTGCAATAGTACCCACAGTACTACTCAGCTTTCTAAGGGATGACAATATTTTAAAAGACAGTTACTGAAACAGATTTTTAACATCAACTGCCTCCATGATGAAATAAGCATGCCCCGTGTCAGGGTGTCCCACGGGTTTGGGTGAAAAGGTGTTGGGGTTTTATAACTAAGAGTTTTCTTCAGCAATAATCTCTAAAATAAAAATACACTCTGTGTGTGTGCTTTAATACTGAAAAAAATTACCGACTGACTTTCTCTGAATAAATGGAATACTGCTACTATTTGTGATTCATCAAAAATTTTTTATGTACAGTTTATGATTTCAACTTTATTAGTATTGTTTTGACAAACAAGACCTAATAGGTATACTTGGGCAATTTTAGAAAATTTTTCTGGAGGTTATTACAAATAGGAAAGTGAAAAGGGAAGTGGGATTTTTGCTGAATTCTTAAGCACCCGGGACCACATTTCTCTCCTTCACTTTATCATCTAATTTAACCTTCACAAAATACTGTGGGTCAGATCTTACCCCCATTTCACATTTGAGGAATCTGAGATTCAGAGGAGTCAAACAATATGCCCAAGGTCACAAACCTAGGGAGTTTTGCAATAGGCGTTTCCACTTAGCTGTGTCGAGGCAAAAAGCCTAGTGTTCTTTCTGTAATTAATTTTAAAAGTTTCTCAGATAGGCGTAGTCCTATTTGGTGGAAGAAGACTAGACTCTAAAGTCCTTTAGATGTTTCAATTGTGATGATTTCAATTGATTCTCATTGTTATGAATGCTGGACATGGGCTATAAAAGCAATTTGTTCTTTCTTCTCCTGTATTCTGAGAAATACTAATTTTGAGAGATATTGATAGATATTCCTGAAAGAAGATGTTCTGTTGTAAATTAAGCCCAGGAAGCAAAACATTGCCTACTCTCTTAGATAATTGTGATAAATGACAATATTTGCATGTGTCATGAGTCCCCAGTGCTTGAGGGTGTGATATAATGGTTACATGCTTGGGCTCTGGATGAGACCGCCAGACAAAGGAGCCTGGCTCTGCCACTTGCTAACTGAGTAGCTGAACCTGTTAGGTAACTTGTCTGTGCCTCCATTTTCCCATTTATAAACTGTTATAATAGTATCTACACCATAGAGTTGTTCTAAGAATAACATGAGATAATGCATGGAGAGAACTTAGAAGTAGACCCACTTGGACACAGGAAGGGGAACATCACACACCAGATCCTACTGTGGGGAGGTGGGAGCGGGGAGGGATAGCATTAGGAGATATACCTAATGTAAATGACAAGTTAATGGGTGCAGCACACCAACATGGCACATGTATACATATGTAACAAACCTGCACGTTGTGCACATGTACCCTAGAACTTAAAGTATAATAACAAAACAACAACAACAAAAACAAAAAGAAAAAACAAAAACAAAAACAAAAAACAAACAAAAACAAAACAAAAAAAAGAAGTAGACCTGATAATATAGTACTTCATAGATACTTGCTATCATTATTACTCAAAACACTCATGTGGTAACAAGACCTGCTATAACTTTTCTAACACCATTTCCTCAACTTACTTGACAATGGAGTCACTTTTCTTTTGAGCCACATTCATTAACATCCACTGAATATAGTGTCAGAAATGTTGATATTTGAAATGACATAAAACCAACTTGGTATTAGTGCAGTAGAAAATAAGAACTAAGTATTTATAGCATTTTAATATCCATTATGTCATTTTATAATGTTTGCCCACAACAATATTTCTTTTCCTTGCCAGCTGTCTTCTTTTTTCCCTTAAAATCGATAAGTAGTAAAACGGAACAGTAAAATGTTAAGAGTTGTCTAAAATGGGCAGAGTCAATGTTATTCCAGAAAGTATGAACCTTATAAGTAATTTGTCTCTTTCTCTGTATTTAGCAGGGCAAAACCTTACTGCTTTGACAAATCAGTGATATCACTGTCATTTCCAGACCTATACTCCCATTGCATGCTCCATAGCACACATTATAAAGAAAGTTTCAGAGCAGACCAACACATTTTTTGATGATCCTAAATTATAACTAGAGCTGCATTTACCAAAATATGCTCTACAAAACACTAATCCTGCACAATGTGCAAATAATGCTATGTTCGTCGTTGTCTTGGAGAATTACAATACATATCTGAAAATTCCTATAGTAAATAAACTCGTTTAGTTTGGAATCCAGTCTTCTTGGAACTTACATAGGTAATCATGACCAAAAGTCAGAGAGTTTAGGGGGCTTCTGGTAGAAACGGGATATTTTTGGTAAATGTCCAGATTGATTTCTTTCTTTAAATACCATTATATTCTGATTGTGAATAATGTTTTTGGAGTATAGAAAAAAATGTGAAAATACACCCACCTCAGCACAGTTGCCCAAATTGTGGAAACAATATAATAATTAGCCATTCCAAGATTGAGATATAACACACTGAAAACCAGTCATTTTCCATAATATTTTTTGGGACGGAATCAGAAGTGAATAGTTTAAACATTCCTTTGGTTAGCAAGATAATGGCAGGGGAAATCACAAGAGTTTACCAAGACTTTCTTTTTTATGGTGGTAGTAGCTCAGGAGATAATCGAATACACGAAGTCTAAAGTATGATAGGAATTACGACCCACACACAGAACTGAAAATCTGCCGGTGATATTAAAACTGTTTCTTTTGTTAATTACATTTCTGTTTCTCAGGGTCCTAGGATCTGGACAGGCACTCAACCACAACTCTCCCTGCTGTCTGATTAGAGCTAAATAAACTTCTCACAACATTGGCTCCACTCTTGAACCCTCCGTGGTAAGTCTACAGAAATTTATTAAATCCTGGCAGCTGTCTCATTTTGAGATTATATAATAATTCCAATCTATTCTTTTGTTTTCTGCTTGTTTCATTTGTCTAAAAACAAGCTAGATAATTCCTAGAATTAGGCTCGATAATAGAAGAAGGTGAAAGCTGTTTTTACTGCATTCCCACTGATACCACAATGCACAGTTCCACAGAGTTGAAATAGAAAAAAGCGAAACACATGGATCATACCTGAGTAATTTCAGAGATCCCCACCCGGAAAAGGTTTCCTTGATTATGGCGAATTCAACGTGTTACTCGGGTTATGCTCTAATCGTCATATCAAACTCCAAAGGTTCAGTGGCTTTAGGTTTGGTTTACAATTCCTGGGAGTTAAACTTTAACTCACCCTGTCTCTTGCATCCATGCAGCCCTTTGACCAGATAATTGGGTCACTACAGCCCAGATATAATCTACTAAAACTATCTTTGCTATTTGTTTACAAAATTAAAATAAATGTTGTAAACATATTGGGGTAAATATTATTTTGAAGATATTTTATTGACTTATACGATATATTTAAAAAGTAAAACTTACTGCAATTTGGTATCTAAGCTTTTCTTTATGTTAGTTCCTTTGTTTTTTACTATGCCAAAGTGATATTATGGCTAAGGTAATTTAGGAGAATATTTCTTTGTTTTACACTTTTTATATCACTGTATTACATGGAGTAAAGTATAGAGTTTTAGGTCAAGTACATTGATAAATGCTGGCTTATGAACAGAAAACACACGAAGCATTTATATAACAAAGTAGATAGATTTAGGCCAGATCAGGTTGGGGAAAGCATACTTCTTTGTATACAAGCTGCTCATTTAGATTTTAAGAGGGGGCCACTCTGTGAGAAGCACAATAATCAGCTACAAACTGGGGTTGTATGATAGCTGATGCTATTGTTCATTGCCTGAAATCTCAGTGCTAACTGAATTTCTTGAAAAATAGAGAAATGGTATTTTCAGAAATACAAATTCTATACTCTAAGTTCTCTGGTAAGAGCTGTAGTCTATACAAGAAATCCCTAAGGGTAATAAAGCCCACTATTAAAAAAGGAAGAAGAACCAAAACCTTCCTAATTTTGAGTAAGTTTTGGTTTCAGAGTTTGGAAACCACACATTCCAAAACTAGAATTAAAGGATACCCCTACTTGCCTTTAGTTCTAGTAAGAGGAGCTTAATTTTCTAGGAACCAACTATTAGGGGAGCATTTTTGTCTATAGAAAAGCACAGAACAAACAATCCTTCTATAATATAGATGCAAAGGAAGATCCATCAATTAAGCATATCTATGAATACGTAAGAGAAGAGATGAAAGGTACTGTTGAAATGTTAGTTCTGCTTATAGTTTTTAGTTCTCAAACATGAAATTATTTCAGTTCTCAAACATGAAATGATTTACCATTTTCCCATAGCTATGGATGACAGGGTTTAACAAAAACATCCCAGGCACAATTGTTTAACCCCAGAATTGCTCCCCTGATGTTAGACCTAGAGAAAGCATTTATGCCCACCCAGCTAGATAGCTGAATGAGGGACACATCCCTCTACTTCCTTCTTGGGAAGGGATTCCCTCACAAAGTAGACCTGTTGGTTTCCTAGTGAAAGCTCAGTCTGGGGTTGCATGGTTCCCAGTTGAGTGGGGAATTCTTACTTTGAGTTTGCCTAGTGCAACAAAGAACTGTTGATATTGTAAGATGGACAGTTTTGGGAGGGTTTCCTTTACTGTTTTTTGTGATAGGTGCTTAGATGGTGATAAGTGGAGATAAAGAAAGGAAAGCTAGGATTTCTAGGTATCTAAGGAGAACATCAAAACCCAAAAGGTAAAAAGAATGATATTAACTAGTGTCTCAGTTCATTCAGGTTACTATAGTAAAATATCATACAAGGCTGGGTGTGGTGGCTCACACCTGTAATCCCAGCACTTTGGGAGGCCAAGGCGGGTGGATCATGAGGTAAGGAGATCGAGACCATCCTGGCCAAAATGGCAAAACCCTGTCTCTACTAAAATACAAACAAATTAGCTGGGCGTGGTGGTGCACACCTGTAGTCCCAGCTACTCGGGAGGCGGAGGCAGGGGAATCACTTGAACCCGGGAGGTGAAGATCGCAGTGAGCAGAGATCGCACCACTGCACTCCAGCCTGGGCGACAGAGCGAGACTCCATCTAAAAACAAAACAAAGAAAACAGAAACAAAACCATACAATGGGTAGCTTCAACAACAAACACTTGTTTCTCATAGTTCTGGAGGCTGGAAATCCAAAATCAGGCCACCAGCAGGACCCTCTTTTTGGTTATGTCCTTACCTGGCCTTTGTTGGTGCATTCGTGCAGAAATAGAGATCTCATGTCTTCTCCTTTTTAAAAATAAGGGCATTAATCTTACCATGAGGGACCTAGCCTCATGACCTACTCCAACCATAATTACTTCCAAAAGGACCTATTTCCAAATACCATCACATTGGGAGTTAGGGTTTCAATATATTAACTTTAGGAGGAACACAAACATTCAGTATTGTAACCAGTTATTTAAAATATGTCAGTTTCTTATTTGATGGATCCTGGCATTCAACAGGGCAGGACTATAATTGCATTAACCCAAAATCTGATGATTTTGGTAGGACAATTCATATATTACTCCTAAGAGCCAATCGTAGTAATGAATTCGGTAGTAATGGATTATTAGGTTATTGCTTTCTGTTTTTATTGCTTTTGTTTTTTAAACCATTTTGTTACAAGGATAGGAATACATTGATCAGGAATAAAAACAAAAACAATGGATCAGCCTTTCTTCTTCTGAGGGCTACTTAGAGAGAAAGTCTGTGGCCCTGGGACAGAGAAACCAATCGATCAGAATGAGATCAAATTTATGACCTTGATCTCATCAGTCTAATCAAGAGAGCTAACTGTACCCAGGATGGCAAGGCTTGCCTTTACGTTGTAAAAATAAACCCAGTTTAGATAGTGGCTGGTAAATATGAATTTTCTATTACTTTATTCTACAAACAATTACTGAGACACTTCTCTCTGCTAAGTGTTGCATTAGAAAGGTGATTACTTAAAATGAGATTTGAGTCTATTAGTAGGCTATAAAATCAATAAAGTGGGTTGTATCTAACATATTAACATAGAACAGAAAATAGCAAGTGAATTGCATCTGGAAAGGGTAATATTATTTAGAAAACTTTTTTTCTAATTATGTATCTATCTGTGTGTATTTGTTATGAAGTAAACTTTATTTTTTATTGTGGATCACAATTTTAAGTATTTGGAAAATACTGTGCTAGTCTTAAGGGATTCAGTGGTTAACAGACCAGATATAAGGTACACACACTAAGCAAATACCCCAATGATTAACTAATTATAGTTGTAATAAGTGTTATGAAGGAGAAGTACAGAATACTAAACAGAACACAAAACATAGGGACCTAACCTCATGTAGGGCTGGGTGGGTTGGGAGGTCTTGAGGGAAGCCTTCCAGAACACAGGACATTTAAGCTGAGACCTGAAGGATGTGTGGATGGGAAGTGGGCATTCTAGTGAGTGGAAATAGCTCACACAGATGCCCTGAGTTCGCATGAGTTTGGCATATTCAAACAACTGATAGAAGGTCGGTTGTGAAAGGCAAGAGGGAAAATGATGCGGATAGTGACTGGAGTAGGTAGCTAAGTCAGACGATTCATAAAAGGCCATCATGAGATTCCCAGCATTATCCTGGGCCAATGGGAAGTCACTGAGGCATCTGAAGAAGGGGAGCCACATGGATGAACTATTTGTATAGATTCTGGCTGTAGAGTGGAGAATAAATTGCCATGGGATAACATTGCCTGCCTCTCTCCTTTTTTTTTTTTTCTTGGTTATTTTAGAATAATTTTACTCATGTACATATTCAAGTAAATTGGTGATTTGAACTTGAAGGAGGCAAAGCATCTAAAAGAGACCAGTAAGAGGGGAGGTGGTAGGTGATGGTAGTTAAGATTAGGGTGGTGGCTCTGGGAAGAGAGGAAAGTAGACATGGTCCATGAAATGTATAGGAGGTAAATCATCAGGAGGATGTGGGAACTGAGGGGGGCATGACATCTAAAGGACAAGTCTCAAATTACTGGATGTGGCCATTGGCTGGATGGTGATACTATTTGCTGAAATGGAAATGCTCAAAAAGGAAGATACTTACAAAAATAGGCTATACCAGGTCCTTAGTAAGTACTCATTCGGTGGTTGCAATGATCAATCATTCATACATGAAATATTTGGCTTATGGATGTCAACAAATCTTGCTTTCAGTATCAGACTACATTTAGGTAAAACTAATTTTTGCTGGTGAAGGTAAAATGTAAAGCTTTTAAAAAAACTATAATATAACTAAAAGTCAAAGATTACCAAGAATAAGAAGCTTCCTTCCCTGCCACCATCCTCCCTGCCCTGGCTCAATAAAAATATCTCTTCTGGTTGGATCACGAGGTCAGGAGTTCGAAACCAGCCTGGCCAAGATAGTGAATGCTGTCTCTACTAAAAATACAAAAATTAGCCAGGCATGGTGGCTGGTGCCTGTAATCCCAGCTACTTGAGAGGCTGAGGCAGGAGAATCGCTTGAATCTGGGAGGTGGAGGTTGCAGTGAGCCGAGATCACGCCACTATACCCTAGCCTGGACAACAGAACAAGACTCCATCTCAAAAAAACCAAAAAACAAAAAAAACCCACAAAACTTCATTGATTTCAATCTCCTCGGAATTCAACATTCCATTTTTGAGTGTTTAGTGGGTGGCTGGGGGTATTGAATTCACTGGAAGGGAGCATTTCAAAGAATTGAGGGGGCCACATTAGACACACTGAGTAGTGCAAAAGCCTCATTCCTCTTTCCTTGCCTATTGACTAGAAAGTACTCTGATCTAGGAGTCAGGACCTTAGCATTTCAATCCCAAGACACTATGACTTATGAACTACTTAATCTTGAGCAAGTTTCTGCCCCTTTTCTGAGTCCGAGTCCTTGCCTTTCATGGGGAAAATAACTACATCCCTTATCTACCTCACTGATTGTTGAGAGGGCCAAGGGAATTGATATATGTAAAAATGACTTGAAAATAATAGAGTACCATGTATTTACAGAGTATGATGATTACAGAGTAGATTAGATCTGTAGCCTTTGAGGTGATGTCAGTGCAACTTCTTGTTTTGATCTGTGAAATAAGAACTTCTAGGATTTATGCCTGTTCCTTTGGAGATTCATAACATTTCAAACCTAAATGCTCAATGCTATTCTTAATGCTTGGAAGACTTTAGAAGACAGCA